TTATATGTAAGTAAATTTTTATTAATATATATATAAAACAAAAAATTATTTTACAGTTTACCCTATGATGAATTATAAAATCAAAATATCGAATGTTAATTTAAATTGATTTAAGTATTATTTTGTATTAATACTATACTTATAATATTATATATAATTGAGCATGATATTTTATTAAATAAATATATAATATTACATAAAAATTTTAATTAAAAAATAAATTATATAATAATATATTATAAAATAAATATATAATATTACATAAAAATTTTAATTAAAAAATAAATTATATAATAATATATTATATTATATATTTACAATATTACGTACTAATATAATTATATCTTTTTCATTTGCTTTATTGCTTCGTGAATATGAGTTGAACCTGTCAAACTAGATGGCTCATACTCATTTAGGATATTATAGAAAAATAATTCTTCATAAATGGCCTGTCGGGTCTGTCGGGCCAGATTTTGTCTTCTTCCCCAAGAAGGAAGCCGTGAACGAAGCTGATTGCAGTCTGCGAAACTATTCGGTGGCTTTTTTAAGTACTTGTTCCTTGAAGAAAATAGAACAGTGAAGAAAGCATCTCTTAAACGTTGGATATTGCTGTATGGTCTAATGGGTTCGGTAGCCATGTGCAGCTGAAACTCAAATTCCTTTTGTTTTGTTTTATCATTTATATATCAATGCATACCACACCGTTCACTCCATACTTTTCAAGGTGCATGTCGACTATACACGTGAGAGAACATGTTAAATGGAAAAAGAATCCTACATCCTACAAATCCCTCACATGGAAATTCAGAGGCTCCACAAATAGCATAATTATGGGCAAAACGAAATTTTGCTTGCGGTGCAAGTCTAGGTGTGTGTCACGCCCCAACCCAAAGGTTTAGGCATAACAAATGCCACACATCTATAGGTTAACCCTATAAATGTGTAAGGCTATATTCCTCGATTATCACTACAATCTCCTTTGCTATTCTTACAATTCCATTAACAAATCTTAATAGTCTCCAAAAAGCAATATCAAATCCTTTAACCAAAACATAAAGTATTTAACACCTTATTCTATAAAACCAAATAAACTTCCAATTGAGCTATTGCTAAATTTCTGTCAATTTATCCTAACGATCTCTCAATCCCCATGCAGATCCCAATGCTCATACTTCTTCACTTGAAATGGGATGAAATCTGAAAACGTGAGTTTAAGAACTTTGTAAGTAGTATACCCATCTATCACAACCAAATATAAAAATTTAAAACTAAATTTTTATTGAAAATGAAACGATTAAGAAAAATACAATTCTTTCCTCAAAACCAAAATATTTCATTTTTCGTCCTTGAAGGCTGTACAACAATCCACAATTCACGATCAATGATACTCAATCATCAATCCACAATACACGATCCACAATCCACAATACACGATCCACAATCCACAATACACGATCCACAATCCACAATCCACCATCCACAATCCACCATCCATCATCCACCATCCACCATCCACAATCTACAATCCATAGATCCCGGGTCTATCACAATACCAATAACTCAACCCTCACAATGGTGAATTATCCAACCAGGACGAATAAAAGAAACCATTCCAAAAATAACAATTTCAATAATATTGGAGAAAACACATTTAAATTAGCCACCTCCACATGGCCACAATCTCATTTCAAATTTAAATAAAAATATTATGCTCGATTCACAAATCATCTCATTCCATCATTAAAAATATTTAGTATAAATCATTCTCTAAGAAATAGATGAACAAATAATCAAATAGATAAATAAATCAAATCTGGGCAAGACCCATTTAAACATATCAATTTATTTTAAAACCATTGGAGGGTATAGCTACTTACCTCAATAACTATTTTTCAATTGCAATTCCACGTAACTATTCGGAGCCTAAAGAAAAACAGTAAATAAATATAGCTCAATCACTAAATAAAATTTAACTAGTGCTATTTAAACATTATAAGAACTAATCCCAATTTCTCATGCCATTCGTGTCCTACTTTCTCACTCAGTTTAGTATTTACACCAACCATCACAATTTCCTCCAATTAAAATAAACCCACTGTACAAATCCTTGTCTCATATACAAAACATAATATGTAATTCACGTGATGCAACCTTAAATATTGTAACTTTCCCCCTCCTCTTGCTATATCTCAACAATCTCAAAATTTTCTCACTCAAATTCACAATTTTAAAATCAATTCCAAAATCAGCTATTATAGTAAAATCAATTCCTCATTATTCTTTTAATCATCAAAATTCTAAACTTAAGAAGACAATTTACCTTCAATTAATC